TAAACCTTCATCTAAGGTACAAAAATAAAAAGAATTATCTATGTGAGATCAAATTGACAACAGCAACTCAAAAGGTTTGATGGGAAGCCTAGGGGACAGTGAGTTGAAGATAATGGTGATGGAATAATTTGGAAAAGGACAGTGAGAATAGCAGCACAACTGGAAGAATGTAATTGATGTCACTGAATTATACATGTAGAAATTTTTGAAATAGCGCATCTTTGACTATGTACATTTTCACCAAAAAAAAAGGTCCTCCAAGGTCGACAAGGGAGAGTGTTGACATGTCATGGGGTTGTTAACCAATGTCATAAAACAGTACATGTACTGACTGTTTAATGAGAAACTATTTGTTCTGTAAACCTCCATCTAAAGTACAATAAAAATTTTCTTTTTTAAAAAAAAGGACGCTAGAAATAGAAATACCATATGATCCAGCAATCCCACTGCTAGGAATATATCCTAGAGAAATAAGAGCCATCACATGAATAGACATATGCACACCCATGTTCATTACAGCATTGTTCACAATAGCAAAAAGATGGAAACAACTTAGATGCCCATCAACAGATGAATGGATAAACAAACTATGGTACATACATACAATGGAGTACTGTGCAACGATAAAGAACAATGATGAATCTGCAAAGCATCTCACAACATGGATGAAACTGGAGGATATTATGCTGAGTGAAATAAGTCAGTCACAGAAGGACAACTATTGTATGAAACCACTACTGTAAAAACTCACAAAAAAGTTTACACACAAAAAGAAACCGTCTTTGATGGTTACAGGGGATGGAAGGGATGTGGGGGAAATACTAAATAGACAATAGATAATTGATAACTTTGGTGAAGGGCAAGACAGTACACAGTGCAGGGGAAGCCAGCACAACTTGTACAAGGAAAAGTCATTGCAACTCCATAGACACATCCAGACTCCCTGAGGGACCGAATTGCTGGGCTGAGGGCTGTGGGGACCATGGTGTCAGGGAACATCTAGCTCAATTGTCATAACATAGTTTATAAAGAAAATGATGAGTAGCGTCTGGCATCTTAAAAGCCTATGAGCAGCCATCTAAGATACTCCACTGGTCTTACCCCTTTGGGAGCAAGGGAGAATGAAGAATACAATACACAAGGGAAAGAGTAGTCCAAAGGTCTAATGGAGCACAACTACCATGGTCTCCACCAACCTGAGCCCAGTACAACTAGATGGTGCCCGGCTAGCACCACTGACTGCTCTGACAGGGATCACAACAGAGGTTTCCGGACAGAGCTGGAGAAAAACGTAGAACAAAATTCTAACTTAAAAGAGCAGACTTACTGGCCTGACAGAGACTGGAGAAGCCGCAAGAGTATGGCCCCTGGACACTCTTTTAGCTCAGTAATGAAATCACTCCCGAGGTTCATCCTTCAGCCAAAGATTAGATAGCCCCATAAAACAAAACAAGACTAATGGAGCACAACAGCCCAGGGACAGGGTCTGGAAGGCAGGAGGGGACAGGAAAGCTTAGGAGGGGACAGGAAAGCTGGTAATAGGGAACCCAAGGTCAAGAGGGGAGAGTATTGACAGGTCATGGGGTTGTTAACCAATGTCATAAAACAATATGTGTACTGTTTAACGAGAAACTACTTGTTCTGTAAACCTTCATCTAAACTACAATAAAAAATAAAAACCTACTTTTCACACTTTTTTTTTCTCAATGCTGTACAGCCCCTGAAATTCATGAATTTAGACTTGTAATCCCTGATTTTGTAGGACCTTGTTTTAGGGTGTTTGTTTGGTGTCCCTTCTTTCCAAGGTGAAATGCCTTTTCTGCACAGAATTGAAAATGAGAAGCATTAGACCTCACACTTATTTCTTCAGAAGCCCTGAGGGGAAGGAATAAGAACAAGTGCTGGAATTGGGTTTTATACTCCGTTCAGAACCTAAATTCTGTGTCTTTCCTCCCTAGCAGGGCATCAGCTTTCCAAACCAAATGTTATTTCCCAGCTGGAACAAGAAGAACTGAGCTGGGGGGAAAAAGAACTTCTGGGTTGCCTCTCTCCAGGTACGTATCAGGCTGCAAGGACTTGTTACATGTGTGTGTCCTGTTGGGGAGAAATCCCTTCAGGGATTTCTGGGTCTCTGGAGAGAATATGACCATTTGATTGTATTCTTTCAATTACCTCCAAGTTACTGATATTTCTCTTCTCCCTGGATCTGATTCTGACTTCCACATTCCTTACGTGATGAGGATTTGATGAGTTATCACATTTGAGGCACTTACACATTGCCTGCAACATACTGAGCATTCCATAAATGTTAGTAATTATTTCCTCTTCTGTTTTCATCTGTACTTCGAATCCTTGTCTTGCTATGTCCTCTGGGCCCTGACTTTCTTTTCCAAATATTTCTTTTCCTCAATCTTAACCTATATCCAGAGGTCCCTTTACTTTATTCATTTAAGTATTTGTAAGCTTTTTCTCATTTGAAGGGAATTAAGTTTTCTCTTCCTCTACCTTGTACAGGTATTTTACACAGGTCTTCATTTAAAAGCAAACGAAAAACAACTTTGGCGTTGCCTTTTCTTCTGTCAACCTTACATTTTATATATTTCCTTTCTCATTCTCTTATTTTTAATCTGTATCTACTATGCATTCAATTCCATTCTCCTCCAAACATATAATGCTTCTTTATCTTTGTTATCTGGTTTCTAACCCCTATCACAGCTGAAATTTCTCTTTTAGATGTTATCACTAACTTTTCTCTAAACAAATGCATCTTACACCTTTATCTTTACTTTATGCAAGCGTTGATCACTACTTCTTTTGATGCATATTTTTAATTAAAAAAATAGGCAAATATTTATTTGATCTCTGGATAGTGTTGTGCTAGCTAAGTATAAAGCAATAAAATAAATTATTAAAAAATGTATTAATAGGAAAAAAAATTTAAGACCATAACTGCTGGTTTCCAGTAAGCTTTTTAAAGCACAGGATTCTAGGAGGAGAAAAATACATTTTTATGACTCTTCTACATACTGTATAATTTAGGAGATTATTTTATACTTTTAATACTAATTTATTAGGTATAAAATAATTCCTTGAGGAAGCTTTAATTGCTTTGATTACAGATTTCTCTGTTTTTGATTACTGTTTATTTTTATGTAAATAATCTACTTAGTCAGCAAATATCTATTGAGCACTGGGCCCTGTTCCTAGCACTGGGAATTCAGCAATAAACAAAACAGTTTCCTCATGGAAACTTATATTCCACTGGGAAACAATAAATTAAGAAAGAAAGAAAGAAGGGAAGGAGGGAGAGGGGAGAGGAGATGTTAAGGATTGAATTCTGTCACCCCAAAATAAATGTTATAAATCCTAACCCCTATACCTGTGATCGGAGCCCTGGTGGTGCATTGGTTAAGAGTTCAGGCTGCTAACCAAAAGGTCGGCAGTTCGAATCCACCAACTGCTCCTTGGAAACCCTATGCAGCAGTTCTACTCTGTCCTGTAGGGTCGGCTAAGAGTCAGAATTGACTAGATGGCAATGGGTTTGGTTTTGGTTTTATACCTGTGGTTATAATGCCATCTGGGAATGAGTTTTCTTTGTTATGCTAATAAGGCAGTATTAGTGTAGGGTGTGCCCTAAGTCAGTCTCTTTTGAAATATAAAAGAACAGATTAAGCAATCAAGCAAGCAAGCACAAATGGAGGGGAAGATACAACCATGTGATCACCAGTGAACCTAGGAATATTAGCTGAAAAGAAACATGGACATTCCCCCAGAGCAGACAGAGAGAGAGAGCCTTCCCCTATACCTGATGCCCTGAATTTGGACTTCTAGCCTCCTAACCTGTGAGAAGATAGATTTTTGTTCGTTGAAGGCACCTGCTTGTGGTATATCTGTTAGAGCAGCACTAGATAACTAAGACAGGAGGGGAGGAGGAAAAGAAAGGAGGAGAGAGAGGGGATGAATATGATATAATACAGTGATAGGTGCTTATGTGTAAAAATAAAGCAGATTAAGGAAACTAGATTAGTTAATGGGAATGGAGTGGGGGGGTTGCTGTTTTATAGGGGATGATCAGGAAAGGCCTCTCCTTTAAGGTAACTTTTGAACAGATACTCAAACTGATGGGCCATGCTGGACAACATTCTTAGCATAGGGAACAGCAAGAGCAAAGACCCTGCGGTGGGAGATTGTTTGGCATTGTTGGAAGAGGAGCGTGCTAGGAGGTATGAAGATTTCTTTAAACCACCTTTCAGTCATTCTGTGAAAAAATTTATTTCTATTATCATATCTTTTATTTCTATGAGTCAAGTAAGATAAGACCTGAAAAATGTCTGTTGGATTTGGTGATAAAGATGTGGTCTGTGACCCAGGAAAAGAGCACTTTTAGTGCTGAGAGAAATTTGCTGTGAATAGAAAAGTGAAAGACAGCAAATAAGTAAAAATGTTTACATAGAGACTGTTGTTTCAACAAGGTTAGCTTAGAAGGCAAAGGAAGAAAGGGCAAGAACCAAAAGAAGTCTGAGGTAGAGAGCAGTGCCTCTGTTTTTTTTGTTTTTGTTTTTTTTTTAAACAAGGGAGAGACGAATGCATTTTCAAGAGCAGAGATCATCCATTAGGAAAGGAGACTCTAAAGATATAGAAAAGCAGAGGAAGAGAATGGAGCCCAGAAAACATGATGATTTGCAAATTCCAGATCTTGTTCTTTCCAGATTTTCTGGGATGTTACTGCCAGATTAATGTACCATTTAGTCCTCTTATTATCCTGCCCAAAACCAAGAACAGAAAGCATCGATTGAGTACTGTGCTCGGCTCTTTCCCAGCCATCATCTAATTTATTCATCATAACAAACCTATGGGGTAGATATTGTTATTCCCTTTTATAGGGGCAAAAATGGGCTCAGGGAGGTGAAATACTGTGCCAGAATTTGAACAGAGGGTTTTTGTTTGGTTTGGTTTGGTTTTGACTCCAAGTTTAATGCTAATTCCAAAAATATCATAGCTCTCTTTCCTTTCTTTGCTGACTCCCTATTTCCTAGTACGTCTAGAAAAACAGCACTTCGCTATCCTGGCCTAATTTTCTTGTAGTCATTCCTCCCTCACTACCCCCCACCCCAGGCCTACTTATCATTTCTGTCAAACCATTCTTAATGTTCTGGATTTATGTTCCATAGTATACTGGTGGATGGATGACTATAGACTGAATGCTGTTGGTTAAGCCTCAGCTTCCTGCCTTAATACCACCCTCTTCCCTTCCCTTTCTCCATACACAGATTCTGCCTCCTGCTTTTAATATGAAGTTATGCTTTTACCATGAAGCTGACTTTGACTATTTTGTCTCTTTCTTATCATGAAATCCTTTATCACTCTATTTTATTTTGTTATTCATATCTTACCTTAAATTTTAAAGGAAACACTGTTTATATCTTATCAGAACTCATTAATCTAGTCCTTAATTGTATGCTAAATTTTGGGTTGTATTATTTTCTCAAAATAATAATTTTTATTCTCATTACAAAGTGTCATACGTATATGAAAATATTTGTGTTGTCTTTGGGTGCTCTTAAGTCAATTCTGAATCATAGTGACCCTAGGTGACAGAGTAAAACTGCCCCCTACGGTTTTCTTAGCTGTTATCTTTACGGAAGCAGATCAGCAGGTCTTTTTCCCTGCAGAGCTGCTGGGTGAGTTCAAACCACCAACCTTTCAGTTAGCAGCAGAGTGCTTAACCATTGTACCACCAGGGCTCCTGTCTTAGTCATCTAGTGCTGCTCTAACTGAAACACCACAAGTGGATAGCTTCAACAAAGAGAAATTTATTCTCTCTCAGTCCAGCAGGTTACAGGTCCAAATTCAGGGCGTCAGCTTCAGGGGGAGGCCTTCTCTCTTTTGGCTCTGGAGGAAGGTCCTTGTGATATATCAGTCTTCCCTTGGTCTTGGAACATCCCAGCGCAGGAACCTCAGGTCCAAAGCACACGCTCTGCTCCCGGCACTGCCCTCTTGGTGGTATGAGGTTCCCAGGTGTCTCTGCGTGCTTCTCTTTTATATCTCAAAAGAGATTGGCTTAAGACACTATCCAATCTTGTATACCTCATCAGTATAACTGCCACTAATCCATCTTATTAGATCATAGTGATTGAATTTACAACACATAAGGAAATCACATCAGATTACAGAATGGTACACAATTATACAATACTGGGAATCATGACCCAGCCAAGTTGACAGATGTTTTTGGGGGACACAATCCAATCCATGGTAGCTCCTTATGAAAACATTTAGAGAAGATAAAAAAAATCCCTCCTAGCACTTTGGTAGATATCCTACTATTATATTTGCAAGTGTATGACTTTTATTTTAGATTTGTATCATCACCCTTACTTTTGTACATTATGCATTGATAGCCCTAAATTGCCTCTAGAGTCATTACTTTTATACATTACCTGGGGAATGCACTGAATGTTGACTAACAGCTTAATTTCAGCAGATTCGTCTTCTCTTCTGTACTGAAGTTTTTATTTATATAGCTGTTAAATACTTTGTTGAATTTTGCTCCTATTTTATAAAAAAGGAGTAGGAAATGTAAAGAAAGAGGTGCTGTTCCTAGTGGCAGTATTTTCACTAGTTAACTTGTTAATGTTGAAACAAAGATGGAAATTATTACTAATGTGGAAAGCAGTGAATTTTTAGCCTTTAATCCATGGCCATTAGACTTAAATCAGTTGATGATATTCAGTTATGAAGGAAACAAAATTTAAGAACATATATGAAGTATAAGAATTATATTATCAAAGAAAATGTCTAAAAGCTGAGGTATAGTTAGGGATTCTATAGTATTTTTAACTTCTCCAGAGTTAGAATCTCTATCCCTAAACATGTAAGTCTATTTGTGTTTTACACAGATGATCTTGAATAATTTTCAGAGATATATTATGTGTGTGTGTGTGTAAAAAGAAAGAATTATATACTATTTCAGAGTCCCTATCTACTTCATGCTGACATGTCAAGGGCTTGTCTTAAAGTGAAGACTCTGTGTGTGTATTAAGCATTAACTGAT